TAGTTCATTTCTGAAAACTAAATTTCAGAGTCAATGAACTTTTTTGTGCCATCAAAAGGTCGAGTCTTTGTGTCATTGTGTATGGATAAGACCGTCCAATTGGTTTGTTGTGAATATAACAGTGTACTCTGGAGGATGTTCTGACTGTGGCAACTTTTTTTATTACAAATTGTAAATTATAATTGAGGTATTGTAGATTGATTGCATGAGACTTCACAAGATTTACATTTATGCTTTTACAGTTTGTGCTGTAATTTGTTGACAGACATGTCATTGAGATAAAGAAAAGAAAAGAAAGCACTGTGCAGAGCACAAAAAAATGAGTAGAAATGTAAACATATAGGAGAAGGAATTACAGAGCAGTCTTCCTACACCCTCCTGATGTTTTTGTCTGTTGGGCCACAAATTCTCATCCACATCATAACAAATATCTTCTCTTGCGATGCAGCATGGAAAGAAACCTTTTAGAGTTTTATCCAGCCTCTGCAGGCRTCTGTGATGTCAGCACACGCTGCATCTATRGGGTCACRTGTGTGTGTGGCTGGAGATCATATACTTTTCATCTCCATGCTGAGAAAAGTTCCTCAGTGGGGTTAAAGAATAAGGAGTAGGGTGAGAGAACCTTCATCAGCATCCTGCCATGGGCCACAAACCATTGCTTGATGAAGCTGGAGTTATGGAATCTGACTACCATGTATTTTGGCAAGTCTGACCCCTCAGGGATGAGATCTCTGTAGAGAGGGTCTAAAAAGTTGACAAGATGTTCTGTATTGTATGAACAGAGTTGTCGAGTAGTGAAGTATCAAGTTTATAAACAAAGTATTAGCAGATATGTATTGATTAGCTGTTTGATTTTAATGACATTTCATTAAACAAATATGCAAACAATGATGCATCAGGGTGTCACAATCCCAACAGAAGAYGAAAATTTTGATCTTTTCTCTGAGTTTACCACACAAATCCTACATTATTCAGAAAAAAAGCCTGTTAACAATACACTAAGCCAGTGGTTCCCAACCTCAGGGGGCATCCCAAATTTTTCAACATTATATAAGCCTTTATTTTAAAAGTAAGCCTTCATTTACAATGATATGCTTTTGTGGGAGGTGGTTGTGCACTATAGAGCCTCATGGGGTAGCCTAAGTTTTTGTCCTTTATGGGTTTTATTTTCCCCATTACTTTTAATTTTMTACTTTTAAGTAGTTTTACAACTAGTACTTTTATACTTTCACTAGAGTAAAAAGCTTGAGTCGATACTTCTACTTTTTAAAAAAGTATTTTTAAACCTTATCTATACTTTTAGAATAGAATAGAATAGAATGCCTGTATTGTCATTACACATGTGCATAACGAGATTAGAGCTACCCCCACAGTAGTGCAAATACACATTAAAAGAAAAGGAAGTGAATAAAGAGTAACAGGATAAAATTAGCTAAAATCAAAATGTATACAGTGTATATATA